ACTAAAATGTCCGGTGTCACAGTGGTATAACTCTCAATATTAACAATGCTTAGCTATTATTATAAACAAGACAACTACAATATATAAACAAAAACAACAAAGGCACCATATATTCCAAGTGGTTTTTGAAATATACAGAAAAATTTTTATAAAGGTGCTTCCTTGTTTCTATTGCTATCACTAGCTGTGCATCCGTATCACTGGGAGCTTACGCTTCCTAGTGATAGAGATCCAAAATAATGTTTGCACACAAATGGCCAAAAAACTTGGTAATTTAATGTCACGCATGAAACTGGTACACTTAATTTATTGTTTTCCGGGCATTTGGTAAGCTTATTACAACTTTCATCAAATCTTTTCTATGAAACGCAGCAAACACAACCCTTCTTTGTCAAATGTTTCTGAAGTAACTTATATAAGTGTACAAAATACAGAATTCTGGAAAAAACATTGTGTTTATACTTGGCCTTATAACTTACCATAAGTGAATTTGTATGTGAGGAAAGCACGAATTAAAAACGTACTTAAGCAACTGTAATCAGTCCTTTATGAACACTGAGCAACTGTCTGCTTCTTTGTGTCCAACATCACACTTCCTGTCAACAGCAACATGACATGTTTGTCAAAAACAAAATATGGCCCTTTCAATGCTAAGATGTTAGCAAACTGTTTATAAATTCCGACTCCTGACAGCCCATTCGGCAATACTACAGGGCTCCAAGTTGTACACACCTATCTGCCATTTCTTTGAGCACATGTCTCGATCAAACTGTCAGGCCATTTGCACTTTCCTTTTTTGCTATCCTCCTCAATGAAATTCCAGACTCTTAACATGCTAAGCTGCTGAAATCAAGTGCAGCTTCATTAGTAAAGAAGAAAGGGAGACCTAATGTGGCCACGCCTTGTCACTGGCAGCTGTAGACGGGCTCAAGAGAACTACGCGGCCATAAATCAGGCCCGTGTTTGCTGAAGGCCCAACTGTCAGGCCCAAACGGTCTTGCGCAGTGTGAGACAGGTATGCAGCTATACATCCAGGCAAGCCAAGTACTAATGTTACTTACGACGCTGTACTGAAGAACAGCACACAAATCAAACATGAACGGTAACTTAGAAAGGAGACGAATAGCTAAATTTTGCGAGTAATAACTCGGGGAGCACTACCATGCACAGCTACATATCCGGTGACAACAGTTTGTGTATATCATGAGTAAAGTGGTCTAGCTGATGTTAAGACAAGAAAAAGTTTTGGGGATGATGGAGGTTTGAAGCAATGAGAAATAGTTGAACAGGGAATGTCGATGCAGCAAGTACTTGGCTAGGTGGACTGACGTCACAAAACTAGTCTACTTTTCTCAACAACTGAACATCTTTTTATCACCTCATGCTGATATTACATATATGATCAGTAAACGCAGAAACACAAGCAAGCACTTACAGTATAAGTTTTTCATACCTCAACTCCCCAAGACCGCACATGCAAGAACCCAGATAGTTGATGCACAGGGGACTGCCCCCAAGTTGTGTGACGTGAACATTAAAATAGTTATATTGCATTATCTCAGTATGCATGTGTTTTGAACTGCGCATTAAATTGGCATTGCAGTGGGGTCTACTAGCCCCGTCAAGTGCTTGGACGTCAGAGCAACTGTCCCGAGAGGGCAATGGTCTCAAGTGCAATAATTCTTGTTTAACCAAAATCTTCCAATATAAAAAATATATGCAACTATCCTTAGGAGCATTATGCTAAAATTGAGTGAATAGGGGTTTTTTTCCCTCTCTCTCTCTTTCAAACTGTGCTGCAAAGCAGTTCTTAGTGGAATCAAGTGCAGCATTGAGCTATTTAGTATTTGCCTATATCGCAAAGCTGTGGGCACAATTATTTTCTGAACATTCTAGACAGTACGCTAAAAGCCAGTGCCTCACTTGTTGAGTCACTGGCGAGCATTTTCCCCATACAATGTTTGTCCCTAAATGGCAGCACTGCGGAGTTCAAACAAATGAAAAAAATTTTAAAATGCTGGGGTCAAATGAGAAGTGAACCTACTAAATAAATGATTCATTTTTTATGGAGAAACTTTTTTTTTTTTCAGGTTATATGCAGAAGACTACGCTCACTTTAGCTAAATTTCTTTTAGCAAGATTACAATAAAATACTAAGAATATATACACAGTGATGGAAGCGATATTTTGATTTTTGGAGCAGATTCTGGAGCAGATAGCAAAATATTCCAGACGACTCCTGGAGTTCAATGAATCATTCCAGCCTCATACATATTAATATTATTAAACATATTGCACCTACAATATTCCCTGCAAATTTAAAGAATTGTAGTTAGGCAGATAAATGGTTTTTGAACTTTGAGTAAGTGTTGTTTCCATATTTTACAAAAGTAGTGCCATATAAATTTTCAAAAATAAGATAAGCTAGATGAATTAACATCGAAATGCTTGTTCTTGTGACAAACAAGGTCAAAGATGCTAAAAGTGCTCAATGTAATCAGTCACATATCAATGCTGTCGCAGCAGCTGCTAATACGACTAAGAAGTCTCACATGCATTTCACCAAAATGGTCTGCTTGTAAGGTACAAATATACAACTATATCAGATATATAGAAAATGTGAGTACATGTAGCATTGTCAATATTCCAGTATACTATACAAGTTGTATACTACCTAGATGACAGTATACAGCTTGTTCATGTTCAGGCTTGCTGGATCGTCACATGGTTTAACTTCATTGTTTAAAATTTCCTCAATGCCATTTCAGAGTAGGTTTAGAGCAGCTACCAACAAATATTGCCCTTTGGAGCAGCACTTTCATCATTGTATATATTTTTTGCTTCACAATGAAAACTATAAGCCTTCTGTTTGTGAATGTGTCTAATAAATCCGTAATGCCCATTGTTGACACATTAGGGGCATTAATAATGATGTTGTCTCTGCTATTCTAACCACTTAAAGATTTCTTTTATGCCATTCTTCAGTTGTCAAAAATGACCAAGTTATGCTTGCAGCAACACAAAAATGTTAACCAGATCACATAGTCAAACCATGTTCCATAATGCAAAACAATGCATGTGTATTTACGCTAAAAAATGCACTCTATAGATGAGCTAATTGCTCATAGGTTCTTAAAGGGGTACTGAGACAAAAATATTCAGAAGTATTGTTGCGTCCAAGGGAAGGCCAAGCGTTCAAGAGCCTAACTTGAGTGCACCCTGAAAAACTACAGAGTGTTTTTAAAAGCTAGTTTCAGTTCCTACTGCATCCTGACATCACAGAATTGTATGAACCTCTCGGCACTTGCTCACAAAAGATATCGTGAAGCGGCTATCTTGAATGTTCTGGTGCTTGACGTCATGAGAACTAGCTAGACTGCTGCTTGAAGTCATCAGATTTAGTACTGTTGTCCGACGTCAAGCTAGTGTCAATGCCGCTAGGTGCACCAAGAGCATATGAACTTTAATATCCTCATAAGCATTTGCTAAGCTTCACACAAATACAGGAGATTCATATGCACAGTGAAATCGCCCTTAAAAAATTAAATCAGCACCCCTTTAATTCTGCATTTTAGATGCGAAGCAGCTCTTTGACTAGCCTTTGTAACGCTGTCCCTCCATCCACACCACTCTCCTCGCCACAGGTGTTGGAGCGGCGCCAAGTAGCTCACGCCCTTCTAGCAGTGCGTGGTGACGTCTCTCCCTCACCTGCTGCACCCTCGCCACGGATCAGCTCTCTCTCGCTTCACCCTCTCTACCGTTCGCGACGCTCAAGCCTACTCTTCACGTGGGCATCATCTCACCCACGCCACCTCTCTCCATCTGTTGGCGAGAAGAAGCCATGAGCCGGCGGGTGCACGCGAGCAGCGCCGACAATGTGGACAGCGCACTGCTGCTTGCCACACAATCACGCGGACAAGCGGGATGCTGTCGCGGTGTGCTTCCCACTAGTGTGCGCGTACTTTCCCTGGCTGTTGCCGGCATCTTGAGGGTTAGCAAAGCCGAGGTTAGCGAGGTCAGCCTCACCATTTGCGACAAGAACACCGATCGCGTTCGAGAATAGAGACGGCGCGCAGGTAACACTGGCGAGACGCGAGCCAAGGAAGCCGAGCGCAAGCGTCCTTAACGCGTCTCGCCTCCTGTGTCCTTGCGTTTCAAACAAACGTTAACTCGAGTCAACACTAGACCGAACTTCGCTTCAAACCGTTCTTCCAGCACCCGCATCGACGCCCGTTTCAACGCAGTCAACGCTGTGCGCACCACTGCTGCCTCGCACCCTGTCCAAAGCTTCTTTCTTTTTTCAAGTTCAACAAAGTATGTTTCAAGTTAAGCATTTAATGACAAGAGCATACAAGTGTAAATGTTAGAATACGAACTTTGCTTTATATCTGTTAGCTATTCACAATCTGCTTAAGAAGTGCTTGACTCACTTATACTAGCCCAACTAAATTATTGCTTGATTCAGGTTTAACAACTGACATACATAAGCCTTTACTTCTAACTAATGGAACTTCATGCACCACAGAGAACTCACATTTCTTTCCCATACCTTTTTAATGACTCAGTGATATAAAGCATGACTAAGTAAGCAGGCATAGAACGTCTGCTCTGTTCACTATCTAAACAGCTCCCCAAAGCAATATACAATAACTAATCAGTTGGCTAAAAGCATTGATGCACAAATGACAATGCATCGCGAAACCACCAGGACAATGCACAGCCTCCAGTTAACGTGCTCCATTGAATGCTGTGCACCTGCACAGCATTCAATGTAGCACGTTAACTGGAGGCTGCACAGCATTCAATGCTTTGCACATGCTTATTCAGGTAAGTTCATATCCTTTCACTGCATACACTGTTCCTGTTACTAGGCAATTACTAGTAAACATACCTTAGCTGATGCCAATATTGCCAATATATAAACTGCAATGTTTGCCACACTTCCTGTCTGAGCATTGCCATTAGTATGTGTTTTGACACCATGTTAATAACGGACTCACCTCAGCATTACTGTAGTACGTGTTCCAGGTGGCCCGTAGAGACTCCTGGCCGCCCAAGTCCCACATGATGAAGTGGACATTTTTCCACACCACTTCCTCTACATTGCTACCTATAGTGGGTGATGTGTGCACCACCTCGTTCATCAGGCTGCAGCACCACGAGAGAAAGAAGAAAAATAATAATGAAAAGACCCCCGAAGTGACAGTTTAACTTCACAACATGCGAAGGTAACACGAAAACAGTACAGTGAATATTGTTTCCCCCATCAACATGATGTCCTGCATTATCAATAAGCAGTTCGCTTCACCCCTCCTGCCAATCGATGTCTGCTGACCGAAGATACAAAACAACTGTGGAGCATTCAAATTCAAAATGATTCAATGCCACGTCAGTGGCAACATGACGTAACATTAACTGGGTCATAAACCGCTCTTGCAAGTAATTGTCGAATGGCGTAAGTAACAGAGTTTAATGCCTGATGAATCAATTGCCACTGAAATTTATCGAATCCATCAAACCTGAGCAGATTCACAGGGGTTTGTCATGCTTAAGCTGTTTTCTCTTCTCTCCTCATGCTGGGGCTGAGCAGGAAGGGATGAAATGGGGGAAAGTTACGTCAGTGAGCACCGCTACCTTGAACGTGGATGATGGAACCCCAATTCCTCTTTCCTTACACTATTTCCAAGTGTGAGAGTGTCGCTTACGGTGTAACATTAGCAGACTATGGAACGCAGGCAGGCATATGGCAGCACACCATGGCAAGAAAAGCATATGATTCAAACACCACTCTTGATTTGTGCTGGCCATTGGCCTATAGTACGCTACCCACTATTCAACATCAAAGAGCAGCAGCTGGCATCTCCAAAGAGAATGAAAATGTACCTCCATATAGAAAGAAAGTGACTGAGAAAATGGCAATTTCGTACTCCGCTAGTAAACTCTTCCAGCCATCCTCGACTGCAAAATCTGGTTGAGATGATCACAGCTGTTATTGCTAGCTGCAGGATGTGTTTTCTTACAAATTCTAAGGCATAGTTCATGACTTTTCTGAAAAAAAGACAATACATGCTACTCATATATTAAGCAGCCCATTCACTCCATGCATCCTATAAAGCAAGTTTTCATCATACTATGTACACTGCAGAGCAGAAGCCTCTCCCATGTTTTGCCAATTAATTTGTTCCTGCACTCGCTGCACTCACACTTTCCCAATAAGCTTTTTAAAGGTATACTGAACGAAATTTCTGCTGCCAAGATTTTCAGTCAAATTGAAAAATTGAGACCTGGAATCGATAGAAACCACGTTCACTCCAGGCAGAAACTACGGGAGAATAATGAATTTAATGCGTCTTTCACAAACTGCCATGTCTAGTGTCCGCATCGTGAACTAGAAAAGGTCCCGCTTGATGATGTCACACACACCCCGAAAGGGCAAGTCAACAATGCCAACTGTCGCCTGCATCTCTCGACTCGCTCAACTCCCACTTCGGTTCCCAAAACCGGAATGTACAGCAAGAGCCGCGAACAATGCTTCTGGCTGGGGAAAAGTACCAGCGTTTTTGTGGAAGGGAAAGAGTGGGATGAAAAGAGAGGTGTAGAAAAGGAAGAGGAGGACAAAAACATGTGCATCCAGCATGCTCCTCGGTGAGCGTGACGCCACGGCTCACGCTCGCAAGTAGCCCCCACGCGAGCCATGAGGACGTGAATTAATGAAAAATACAGCTGTTCAAGAATACAGGAAATAAACTCTGTATATCAGAACAGTGGCATCTTCAGAGTCCAATTTCAAAGTTTCAGCAGTTTTTCCAATTCTTTTTCAGTATCTCTTTAATTTTGTGTGCCTACCTAACTTTCTGCTTCACCCTTGAATGCTTGCTTTCTCTTGCAATCTAGTACGAATGGCCAGCAGTCTTCTCAATGACCGGTGGTTTTAACCACCAGGGCCTTTCTAAAGATACTGTGTCATACTTTCCTTCTTGTGGCACGACACACTTGGGACATAAGCTAGTAGTGGGTAGTCTGCTAAGGAAGGAAGATGTAGTTGGAACAATGACGCAGATGCATTAATCAACTGCGCTGTGTTTTCGGAACCGTGTTTCAGGGTGCTATATTTATTGGTGACCCGGACTACGAACGCGATCTTCCATGGAGCAGCGTGAGCATCTCGACAGCCTCAGCCCTGGTACCGCTGCCACTGCACCCGACCATGTACCCTCTTCGGGTGTTGTTGGAGGTACTACTACCATGACGCTACCACAGCTGTGGCTTGCCGATCCCTCCTTATGGTTCATTCAAGTCGAGAACAAGTTCCGCATTCATCGCATCACGTCAGAAGTTCGCAAGCATGAGCTCCTCATTGAAGTGCTGCCGCCACAGGCAATGGCCGAAATACGCGACATCCTCGTGGGCCCGCCGGGTGACATTCCATATACGACAGTCAAACAGGCTCTTCTTCACCGACTCGTTCCGCCTAAGCATTGGCGCATTCAGCAACTTCTGTGCAACGAAGAGCACAGGGACCGCCGTCCCACACAGTTTCTACGTCACCTGCAGCACCTGCTTGGGGACCAGCTGGACGGCTCAGAAACATCCATACTACGTGAGTTGTTTCTACAACGTCTTCCACCTACCATGCGAATGGCTCTTGTCCCAGCTCAGGATAAGCCGCTGTCGGAGCTGGCAGAAATGGCCGATGACATGATGGACGTTGCTCCGGCAGTCATAAACGCTGCCTACACCTCTCCGATTTCCGAAGCAGATTCCCTTCAAGAAACGGTAAAAGATCTTGCAGCTGAAGTCGCCAACTTGCGTCTGCAATTGCTGAGCATTCACAACTTAAATGACCAGACTCGTCCACATCGACCATCTCTCACGTCGGCTGCTCCGCAACGGCCCCTCCACCAGCCAGAGCACTGCTTTTCACCGCAGAACACATGCTATTATCACCGGCGTTTTCGTGCCGCGGCTCGCAAATGTGTGCCACCTTGCTCATGGCGCATGGAAAACGCTCCGGCCGATCGTCAATAACAGCGGCGGGCGATTAAGGCCAAGCATCAAGCCGCCTCTTCCACATCACCGACAGAACCACAGATCTGCGCTTGCTGGTGGACACTGGAGCTACGCAATCTTAGGCGCCGATTTCTTAAGGCATTTTCATCTGCTCGTGGATATGAACCGCTATCGCCTGGTGGATAGCTATACTGGCTTATCGGTCAATGGTTTTCTGTCACGCGCTACGGCCCAAACCCCACTTTCGTGAAACCGCCCACGTCACCATATACAGCTCTGCTCAACGAGTTTCCGGAGATTACAACGCAGTCTCCGCAGTCTCCCAACACAGTCACCCCCAAGCACACTATGGCCCACTGTATCGTTACCACAGGCCCACCGGTTCACTGCCGCCCTCGCCGACTTGGCCCTGATAAACTTCGAATTGCTCGCAACGAGTTTGAGCATATGTTACAGTTGCAAATCATTCGTCCATCATCAAGCTCGTGGTCGTCGACACTACACATGGTTCCCAAGAAGAACAATGACTGGCGCCCCTGTGGTGATTATCGGGCTCTCAATGCAGTCACCGTTCCAGATCGATACCCGTTACCCAATATTCAGGACTGTACTGCCTTTTTAACCGGCACAACTGTATACTCGAAGATTGATCTTGTGAAAGCTTATCACCAGATCCTTGTTGAGCCTTCTGACATTCCCAAAACTGCAATAATTACCCCATTTGGGCTCTATGAGTATTTACGAATGCCTTTCGGTTTGAGAAACGCAGCTCAGACATTTCAGCATTTTATAGACGAAGTCACTAGAGGCTTGCCGTTTTGTTTCGCCTATATCGACGATCTTCTCGTTGCCAGCAAGGACGCTGAAACGCACAAGGCACATATATGTCAGCTTTTCAATCGACTGCGTGATTACAACCTTGTCATCGATGTAGAGAAGTGTCAGTTTTGGAGTCTCGGAGATAGCATTCCTTGGACATCAGATCACTAAAGATGGCACCACTCCTCTACCTGACAAGGTTCAAGCTGTCCTCGAGTACCCGCCTCCCACGTCCATACGCAGTCTACGACGTTTTCTCGGACTTGTCAATTTTTATCGCCGCTTCATCCCTACATGCTCTACACTGCTGCAGCCTCTGGAAGCACTACTCTCGACTTCGCAAGCCCTGGGACACGGTCGCGGATCAAGCTTTTGCCGCCGTTAAGACCAAGCTCACCCAGGCCACCCTCCTGCACCACGCTTCACCAACTGCTCCCACTAGCCTCATGGTGGACGCTTCTTCAGAAGCAGTTGGGGCCGCTCTTCATCAATGGATCAATGGTGCATGGGCTCCAATTTCCTTCTTTTCCCGCAATTTATGCGACACGCAGCGCCGATATAGTACTTTCGAACGGGAGCTCCTCGCGGCCTATCTTTCAGTGAAGCATTTTAGGTACTTCCTTGAAGGGCGACAATTTCCCATTCTTACCGACCACAAGCCCCGTGTTTCGGCTTTACGTTCCTGCAGTGCCACGCACACTCCTAGAGAACTTCGACACCTTGCTTTCATTTCCAAATTCACCACAGACATACGTTATGTAAAAGGCAGATTTAACAGTGCAGCGGACGCTCTCAGTCATATTACCATCAATGCCGCGACAGGCACCACTGACCTTTCATTGTCCTCGCTCGCGGAGGCACAGGCATTAGATGATGAGCTTCCACGACTCCGATCCTCTACTTCCCTCCGACTGGAACAAGTCAACTTTCCAGACGACGACGTTACGCTCTGGTGCGATGTTTCACACAAGTGCACTTGTATCTATGTTCCTTCACAGCTTTGTCGTGCTGTTTTTGACACCCTCCACTCCATCTGCCATCCAGACGTAAAAGCGACGCAACATCTGGTCACTGAATGCTATGTCTGGCCGCGCATACGCACTAACATTCGTGACTGGGTTCGCACTTGCAGAGAATGTCAGCATATCAAAATGCAACGGCACACCAAGCCTCCATGGGGAAAATTCCCTCTCCCTGATGCCCGTTTTAACACCATTCATTTGGACATTTTTGGGCCATTACCTCCATGTCGGGGAAATACGTATTTGCTTACGTGTATTGACAGGTACACTAGGTGGCCTGAAGCAGCTCCAATGCCTGACATCACAGCAGAAACAGTCGCTCGTACCTTTCTTGCTACCTGGATTAGCCGTTTCGGTGTACCATCAATGGTGACTACTGACCGAGGCAGACAGTTTGAGTCGGCACTTTTCACCTCTGTCACAGCTCTACTGGGTTGTGCGCGTATTTGCACAACTGCGTATCATCCAGCATTAAATGGCTTAGTGGAGAGACTCCACCGTCATCTAAAAGCAGCACTCGCCTCGCAGACTCACGCCAAAGATTGGGTATCACACCTCCCCATCGTGCTTCTCGGCCTGCGTTCAACACTTCGGCCAGAACTTGCCTGCTCTGTAGCCAAGATGGTTTACGGTTGCACACTCCGTTTGCCTGGTGACCTGGTCAGCCCCGTTACTACACAGAGTGTTTCGGATCCATCTTCTTTCGTCCAGCGTCTGCGGATCTTCATGCAAAACTTGCGCCCATCACCAACTTCAGCTCACACTAAGAACAACGTTTTTCTGCCGGCAAACCTACAGACATCTTCACATGTTTTTGTTCGTGTCGATGCATCTTGCCGTGCTCTTCAGCCTCCTTATGACGGTCCTTTCCCAGTCATCAAGCGTTCTGAACATCATTTTACAATCCTGCGTAATGGGTATGAAGACACAGTCAGCATTGAAAGGATCAAGCCGGCACCCATTCTGACAAGCTCCGTCTGATCTTTTTTTTTTTTTTTTCCAAGTGCCCACGGCCACTTGTCTGCAGGGGGGGGGGCCTATCAGTGGCATACTTTTCTTCTTCTGGCACGACACACTTGGGACATAAGCTAGTAGTGGGTAGTCTGCTAAGGAAGGAAGAGGTAGTTGGAACAATGGCGGAGATGCATTAATAAACCGCGCTGTGTTTTCCGAACCACGTTTCAGAGTGCTATAATACCAATTGAAGCAGGGGTTACTGTAGTGGGACAAGCTCAACTTTTATTCCATTCTGAACTTCTTCAGTGGTCAGAGAAGTGCTCTATTCACGCTGTCAACAAGATCAGCCAACCGCGCACTGTGGGAGGTACGAGAAGAATAGAATCGAGGAGAAGAAATCCCTGCATTATACCGACCCAAGTGTGTATCCTTATTCTCTACCACGAGGAAAGTCTGTTTGTATACACTCTATCATGAATGACAGGCTTGCCATAGCGGACGACGCCTGAAAGACAATGATGAAACCCGTGGAGTCTTTCAAGACCAGCAAAGAATGATGAAAGGGGAGGGGGCAGACAAAGCCAGTGATTAAACAAGTGGACAGGTCGTGGTAGAGCTCTCAGCCGGAGCCCTTCCCCTGTCTAAAGCTGTGTCCGGATGAGAGTTGCTTCATGCGACTCCGACGACACATTAGTGAATGACACACTATGCGAGGCAGCGGTTGTAACGGGGTCAGGAAATGGACACAGACGTGAACCAGGCTAAATGGTCTATAACTAGTCAGTTATACACTAAATGGTAATTAACTGACATATAAGCTACTAATTGGCTATAGCACCGTGTCTGTTGCCTCTGTATCCTGTTGTTGTGCTGATTTCAAAGACATACGTTCAACCTGAAGAGTGAGCAGGTCGCTCCATGCTCTATAGCACAAGAAAACTTACTCTAGATTAAATGCTCGTGACACCGACAATAAGGCACAAAGGGCGAAAATGTAGTGAAATATGTCAAGTGTGAACAACGAGCAAGAAGAGGTGTCAGAGAAATAAGAAACGTGCTGGAGAGATCAGAAAATCTTGTTCAATCACTACACACTGCAGCACATCAGTAAAACATCAGCCAGGCTTCTGAAAGAGCTTTACTGTGCACGGTCAGGATACTTCAACACGACTGCATTCTTAGTTTATTTCAGTCCTCGAAAGTAAAACACGCAAAGTATTATTTCTCAACTATGGCAGTTTCCCCAAGTTCGTAGACTGCAATTTTTTGTGAAATGACCCATTGCTAATGAGCTTTTTGTCATGCACGTGCCTCGTTGCGTTCTTTTCCACGCTGTACCCACACTAGCCATAAACCAACACCAACTCACTTCATCCTTCTGAACTAAATAAAAAACAATAATAACCATAAACTGATTGAGCTCTTCATGTGTTATAAGGGGCAGTAAGTTTTTCTAATTTTCTTAGTTTTTTCATGTAATGATTTGGGAAGCAAAATAGAGCAACAGTTAAAAAAAAGATTATTTTCTGGCTGTATGCAAGAGCATAAAAATGTGCTCACCATGTTTTGTTTTTTTTTTCCCTCAAGAGATACTATCTATCACAAAGTAATGATAAAGTTAGTGGCGTTATGTTCAGAATTTCTGGATAAACTACTGATATAGCCAAATGAAACGAATTATAGGAGTTCTAAGATCTTTTGGAACAATGATGCATTTTTATTATGTCTGGGTTAATTTCTCCTCGGAGGGTATGATATCATATGCATGTATTTATCGCTCATGTATTTATTAGAATGTTTGCAACACTCAGCCACAGCCTTTATCATTGATATTTATCACTTAGGTTTGCATGATCTGCGCTACGGACAGCAATGCTGGCAGCAATAACAGTGAGCTCCCGTTAAGACGAACTCGTTTAAGACGAATTCTCGCTTATGCCGAACAACGAGAGAATGTTTGTTTGGTTTTCCATAGACCTAATGCAAAAAAAAATCCGCTTAAGACGAACAGCCTTGCAGCTGCTCTTCTGTTAAGACGAACACTTTCGCGGAGACCGGGAGACCGAGGCGATTCTACAGAGGAATTATGGCAATCTTGGGAGGGCATTCCCGCGGCCGGAGGGAAAGAAAATACAGAAGCAGCAACGGCACGAAGCGAATTCGGGCCACGGCGGAGGGAGGGAGGCAGCGACAAAAGAATGGCCCGCGGCATCACCCGCACTTCTCATTTGCCGCAGATCAGCAGCAAATGATGCTGCAGATCTCTACATTAGTTCGTTAAGGAACTATTTTGAGCAGCATGAAGGAACTGAAGTGTTTTTGAGATCGCTAGGAGATATGGCGTCATTTGTGGCTGCTCGCCAATGTGCACAACAGTGACAGACGTCCATTATGAACTGGATCAAGCTGAGCAAGAGTTGCCTATCAGGTTACTCCCTCAAATAAATTATTTTTGTGTCTTTTTCCTTTACTGTGAGAGTACTTGATACTTTGTTTTGAACTAAAATATTTGCATGCACCTAGATATGTAGCCAATTCTTTTTTCGAGGGTGCTTCTGATAAGACGAACATCTGATAAGACGAACAATTCTTCATGGTCCCTTCGAGTTCATCTTAAAGGGAGCTCACTGTATTCTTAAAAAGCTGACATGCAAACAATCAGAATTTCAGATGTTTTTATTCAATAGTTACATAAGGTGGTGTCACTGGAATAGGCATGCGAGGCATTTAGAAGGCAATGACACTCACAACTGGTAGAGAATTGTCGTCTTGCCAGCATTGTTGAGGCCAACGATGACAACCTTGTGCTCTGAAAGATAACAAAACCAGCATGATAAGCTCTCGCATTCTAAAACAAAGCAAGGGCTATCAGTACATGCCTACAATGATATCATAGTTGTTTTCATGTCCTGATCCCATCACACAGCTTCAATGACCCTTTCACTACATGAACTATAGTGCGACATCCATTGTAGCAGTAGTTACAAACTTTTATTTTCAGCCACAAACTAATGGCCAAGCATTTCAACCGTTTGCACGACTAGTCGACACAGTTCTTCGCCTTTGGCGTCGGTCTAGTTGAGCCAGGTGGTGATGAAAAGGGAAAGGAGAGGGAAAAAGCTAGATAGCCGAGTGTAGGGCACTAGAAAAGGCAGTGTGACAGGTCGGTATATTCTGACGGGCAATGAGGACAACAGGGGTAAGATGAGATCTATATCTATAGAGCTACAGTATTACTCTATTTTGCCAGCTATGTTTCTGTGAATTAGGAACCCCACTCCCAGTTCTCTTCTGTCTCCCAAGCCCCTGTAGCAAAGGACGTGCCCATTCTGTAGCACCGTATAGGCCTCATCTGTCCTCCTAACCTCACTGAGCCCTGTTATACCCCACTTAACACCCTCTAGCTCCTCGGATAGTACAGCTAGACTTGCCTCACTAGATAAGGTTCTAGAATTAAATATTGCTAAGTTCTGGTTCCAATGGCGGCCTGTCCAGATCCAGAGATTCTTAGCACCTTCTGCTGCATTGCAGATCTGACCGCCGCCATGGCCAATTGCTTCGCAGCTGCTGGGGACCTTCTACCGAAAACGAGGAAAACGTAAGTCGACATGGAGGAGCCCTAATGGTGAAAATAAGAATGAAATAGACTTTATAATTACTGCACACCCAGGCATCATGCAGAATGTGGAAGTGGTTCGAAATCATACCATAGAATGGTACGGTCTTAAATTCGCCTAGACTTGAAGAAGAAGCAACAGAAACTGATACACAAGAAGCCAATCAATGAGCTAGCACTGAGAGGGAAAGGACAGGAATTCAGAGTCTCGATTCAAAACAGGTACTCGGCTCTTATTGAGAAAACCAACCTTAGCATAGATACAATGAATGATAATCTGATGATTATCATTACGGAATGTGCAGTGGAAGTTGGAGGCACGGTAGTTAGACAGGACACTGGCAAGCTTTCCCAGGAAACGAGGAATCTCATTAAGAAGCGTCAAAGCATGAAGGTATCAAGTACAACAGACAAAATAGAACTGGCAGAGCTTTCGAAGCTGATTAATAAGCATAAGGTATCAGTTGTAAGAAGATATAACATGCAGATAATTGAACACGTTCTGAAAAACGAAGGAAGCATCAAAGCAGTGAAGAGAAAACTTAGGATAGGAAAAAAATCGAATGTATGCACTAAGGGACAAAGAAGGCAAAATAACTACCAATATGGATAGGATAATTAAAATAGCGGAGGAGTTTTACAGAGATCTGGCAGCCGGGACAACCACGACCTTAATACTATAAGACCTAGCAGTAACTCAGATGACACCCCACCAGTAATGATTGAAGAAGTCAAAAAAGCCTTGGAGAGCATGCAAAGAGGCAAAGCTGCTGGTGAGGATCAGGTAACATCAGATCTGCTGAAAAATGGAGGACAGATTGTGTTAGAAAAACTAGCCACCCTGTTTACGAGGTGTTTCCAGACGGGAAGAATACCAGAGTCTTGGAAGAATGCTAACATCATCTTAATACATAAGAAAGGAGATGACAAGGACTTGAAGAATAATAGGCCGATCAGCTTGCTATCCGTAGTATACAAGCTATTCACAAAGGTAATCGCTAACAGAGTCAAGAAAACATTAGAATTCGATCAACCAAAGGAACAAGCAAGATTTCGAACAGGCTACTCAACAATCGACCATATTTATACTATCAATCAGGTAATAGAGAAATGCTCAAAATATAGTCAACCACTATACATCGCCTTCATAGATTACGAGAAGGCATTTGATTCAGTAGAAATATCAGTAGTCATGGAGACACTACAAAATCAGGGCGTCGATGAAGCATATATAAACATCCTAGAAGAAATCTACAGGGGATCATCTGCTACCATAGTGCTTCATAAAGACAGCATCAGAATACCAATCAAGAAGGGTGCAAGGCACGGGGATACAATCTCCCCAATGCTATTTACTGCGTGCTTACAGGAGGTTTTCAGGAGCCTAGAATGGGAACAGGCAGGGATAAGAGTTAATGGAGAGTACCTCAGTCACCTGCGCTTCGCCGATGACTTTGCATTGCTGAGTAACTCAGGGGATGAATTGCAACTCATAATTACGGAGTTAGACAAGGAGAGCAGAAAGGTGGGTCTTAAAATTAATCTGCTGAAAATGAAAGTAATGTATAACAACTTCGGAAGAGAGCAGTGTTCGATATAGAGAATAATGCACTTGAATTTATGAAAGACTATGTCAACTTAGGACAATTAATAACCGCGGTGTAGAACCACGAGATTGAAGTAGCTAGAAGAATAAGAATGGGGTGGAGCACATTTGGCAAGCACTCTCAAATTGTGACAGGTAGATTGCCACTATCCCTCAAGAGGAAGGTATATAACAGCTGCATCTTGGTGGTACTTAGTTACGGAGCAGAAACCTGGAGACCTACAAAGAGGGTTCAGCATAGATTGAGGACGACGCAGTGAGCAATGGGAAAAAAAATGGTAGGTGTAGCCTTAAGAGACAAGACAAGAGCAGAGTGGATCAGGGAACAAACGGGGGTTAAGGATATGTTAGATGAAATCAAGAAGAAGAAATGGACATGGGCTGGGCATGTAGCGCGCAGACAGGATAACCGCTGGTCATTAAGGATAACTGACTGGATTCCCCGAGAAGGCAAGCGAGTTAGAGGGAGACAGAAGGTTAGGTGGGCAGATGAGATTAAGAAGTTTGCGGGTATAAATTGGCAGCAGCAGCAATCGCAGGACCGAGTTAACTGGCGGAACTTGGGAGAGGCCTTTGTACTGCAGTGGACGTAGTCAGGCTGATGATGATATATCTACAGAGAAAAAGGTGAGAGGTTCAGGCAATAAAATTCAGGCATCTGGTGCTGTGAGTGATGGATGAGGGGGAAGGTAGAGACACTTGTCCAGTCTGAGCTGGAGGTACACCTCCTTGATAGTTTGGCGCAAGGATATTGTCCTGTCGTTCTTCACGGAACTCCCACCATCATGCGAAGGTGTGGGCCAGGAAAAGAATGGTGCCCGTTGCAATATACTACGGGCGGGCTTATGAGCCAGCTTATTGCCGTCAATCCCTCAATGCCTAGGAACCCAGCGGAGGAAAACAGTGGGAAATTGGAGTGTGGAGATTGCTCGCTCTACCCCTTGTTCTAGAGAAGGGGGTAATGTGTGATACTGTATGTGGTGTATGGCTGCGTGAATAGTCGTAGAAAATCGTACACTCAGGGACAAAACAGAGGGAGGAAAATGACTATAATGCATGCACAATGGAAAGGGCTTCAAGTGGCAGCACATTTGACGAGTGCAAGCAAGACCCACTGGTGCGGGTTTTGAGGTGTCGAAAGATGTGGATGATAAATAGCGTCACCGCAGGAGCCTCGAGGAGCCACGAATGAGGCATTCGTATAGGCAACTCCATAATTGCAATAAAATTGGAACTTCAGATTTCATAACAGCTAAATTATCTTGCCGATTCAATTTAATGAGGTCTATAGACAAAAGAACTGTGCTGGACCTTAAGACCTTGATAAGCACAATACACGTCACCTATTCAAAAAGCTCACAACAGTTCAACACACACATGTAAGGATTGTCATACATAAATAATCAGCGTTTGCTTTCTTCCTTTTATTGTGATGATCTAAACGTTGAAAAAGTTGCATAGTGAAAAACCGCTATACTGTTTGTATATTTAAGTCAAAGTCACATTCAAGCTATGTGACACACCATAAAGGCTCAAGTTTCGTAAAGTAGAAGAAAAAAAGATCCAAACACTGAAAAATAAAGCTTCAGCCTACGGTGCATGCCTTCTATCTAATCATGAATGCAACACAAGAACCCGATACGGCCCAACTGAGAAGCAAGAAAAAAAATTATTCTAAAGCTCATCAAGAAAGCTGTTCTCGGGTTACACCACCAACTTTATCTGCACTTGCACTGTGCAACCGTTTTGAGACATGAGGGCTGGACATGCTGCCTACGAGAATGGTGGATGTAGCACACATTGAAAACCTTCGTGCCTGCACATTTCATGTAGCAATGGTAATGCAATTGGTGTAAAAGACCTGAATGTCAACAAAGCCATCATACTTGCTCATTTTCTTCTTCCTTTTTGTCTTGTGAGATTAAGGCGAACACGAGCAATGCTGTTCTCGCAGTTTAACATCCCCTTGAGAAACTGTGCTCCTCCTTTTTGGTGGATTTTTCTGCCCTATATTTTTTACAGTGACCAATTTTGTTGGTATAACTGCACTGTAAGTACAGGAGCATGTGCATGCAAGTGCACTACACCAGAGAAACTCGACAAGTCCCAAAACAGAAGTAATACTCCCATCACACGGCACATGTCAATGTCAGCAGTTATGGGTGCCATATGATGCAGCGTATGCCATTCAATCTGCGGCATTGCTACACAGGAGAAAATAATGTCCTACAGCTTTTATATAAATGGCAATAATACCAAAACAATCATCCAGAAAAGCCGCACAAAGCAAGTGAAGAAGTCAGTCCATTCATTTTAAAATAGATATTAGCAATTGATGCCACTACATAAACATACATATAAATCTATCATACAATAATCTACGGCCACCATAAGCCAAGACAAACCTTAGCAAGTAGAAACAGGTGATAAATTGGACATGGAACATGGCTAGTATGGCAGCGCTGAGCGAAGATGCCGACATGCAGCAGGTGAAACATTTATTTGGTGTTTACTACTTTGATTAGAGAGAGAGAGAAAGCAGAATCATATTAATCGAAAGAAAAGGCATGATCACCCTATAGACGATGAAGCAAGATGCAGTGGAAAAACTTAATAGCAGATTCATGCAAGAACTTTCACAGTCATGCCTAATTATTTACACCGTCGTCGACTAGTAAAACAAAATCTACATGACACCACTGAGATGGCATCAAAAACTTTTAGCGACAGCAAGCCATAAAGGTGTTTTCTCGTGAAAATTCACACATCTGCTCATGAAAGTGCGCGTCATCGACAGCAAAACAGCCCGGCAACACCTTCTGCAAGCATGTGCCTCAACCACCCGCGCAATTACTGTCACCACCAACGTAAAATGTTTGCCGATATATGGGAACGCACAGCCCGCCAGAGTTTGGGCTAACACATAAGCAATCCTCGAAAAGGTTATCGAATGACATTTCCTCGTGTTAATGGAATGCCAACAAAACGAAAGGGAGACCAGATAAGAAGTGCGTGTACACCAATATGCCTTGACGTACTCACAAGACGCATAAGGTCGATCCCCAAGATTCGACTTGAAGTACATATTTTTAGTGAACCGACGTACATATATACTAGCAAATGTTCACAAGCTAAGGTAGCCCACAATTTACACGGTCGAAAACAACCTTTCAGATGCTGGCGGCACAATGATTTCTATATCATACGTGCATTTTACGTAATTAGTAAATTAGTTTACTTCATTGTCTGTTTTTTAAGTTCTCATTTCCTGGGGGTATAGTTATAGATATTTGTATAACTTATTAAGCGTCATGTATTGCATTGATATTTACTAATGACCATAGGGTTGTTTTTTTTTTTGCCAGTACAAAATGCCAAACAAGACCTGTTGGTTATCTCAATGAACTAAAAATAAGGTATGCCAAGACAATGCAGACCTCAAATACGTTGGATTGAGTCAACTTTGCTCTCTTGTTTACCTTCACACACCGTGGTTGATCGTGAAGCATAGGACCTTTTATCGTAGATCGACGAACATAACAATTCGGCAAGCTTTTACGTATCATTTGTTGCTCTGGATCTCGCTACAAATAGCCCATTAGTGAAGAAAGCCTAGTTGAACGCTCATCTCGCACACTCAACTGTATTTACAAAGGCACCATGCAGATTTTGTAAAGGGCAGGCACACAGATGATATCAGATATGATGCTTTGGTAGTAATGCGTCATTGACAGCACATCCTCACTCTTTTAAAATATCTTGCGAGAATAATCCCATAGTGAAGTACCATTAACAGCTGTACAACTGGCCTGATATTTGCGAACAGCGCCCAAACATTCTGGCTCAGAGAAATTGTGGAATCATGTTGTACGCGTAGATACAGCGAGCCCATGCCCTTCACCATTCAGGTAAAACTCTATGACCATTTCATGCTGAAAATATATAGTGAATACACTGTAGTAGGTGTTATACATATGTATTAAACGCTGCCTTTACATGAAATGATGCTTGTTTTAGTGTCCCTGGCAATTCAATATGTATACATACTACAACCAGAAAAACAACAGCAGTACGCAATATGTAATTCATTTCATGCAACTGAACTTCTACGCACAATATTGATATCTGTGCACTTTAAGGGGCGATTTACTGAACTGATATTGTTTTAAAAAATATGTAACTTGGTCCTTGTGATTGCGTCCACCTTGATAATTACTGCACAAAAATGTTCAATTGAAGTTTACGAGCAAGGATGTTATCTAAGTAGAAATTTTCACGCATGGTATCGATTAAATATATCGCTTCGTCCTTTCTTTTTTAATTGTGATTTCAAGAGCAACGGCCCATCAGGTCCAGCATTTTTGCAGCAGGAACCTTTATACAAGGTCGTCGAAGCATTCGACCCGAAACACCGACAAAGACGCCCTTGTGCGATCGGTTAGCGCGCCAGCTGACAGAAAACATACGAGGTATTCAAGGTCTTCGCACACTAGAACCAGTTCTGGGTTGACGACGTGACGAAATTTGTCCGGCAAAATAAGCTTATTCTAAATTACGTCCTTGCAACACACCCAACCAGAATCGTGCCGTCGAAACCAGCACATTTCTTTACATCGGCTAGAGTGAGACGAAACCGTCGGGTTCGAAACTGTAAAGAAAAAAAGTCGATCGAACGGTATCTGGTTCCACGACGAACTGTCCCAATTGCTCGAATCGGGGAGACGCGGCTTACCATCATCGTAACGATGACCTTTGGGGCTGTTCGCGACGAAAACAACCAAAACGTTGGAGCCGATTGTTCCTGCAACAGGTGCACCGATTCTGCAAGTCTGGCGTCGGCCTTTGCGCCGCTCGCGTCGGATGCTGGCGCCAGTCGGCTTATCTAGCGAAAAGCGGAATCTGCGGCGGAATCCATAAAACGTAGCTGCGCAGGCTAGACCCGTCCCGCGGGACAGCTACGACGTGATCAGTACACAGACTCAATGAGCGATCACTGGCGAAGCGCTTCTCTGACGATCCGAAGGAGTAAACCAAGCGATCACAGACGTCAGAGGCCGAGCGAGCGCGCCCCTGGGCATACGGCCGCGTTTGCGTCATAGCGCGCACACGCACGCGATAGATAACGGCTTCCGAAGAGATGCGTCCCGTAGCAGCAGCTGCTGCTGCTCGCGGCTGGTCAAGCAGCGGCTTCTCTAGCTCGCTGTGGAAACTGGGTCAGGCGGAAACCATCTCACCAGCCTGAGAACGCTGGCGCTTTCACGGGTGGCACTTTCTTTTGCCGCGACACAGCCGGGAGTGGACGTAATGCCCAAGCGAGTCGTCGTCCGCTGTCACGGTTAGCTATTTCCTTCCTGGGATTTGCGAGGGTTAACCCTGGGAAAATCCCAAGCAAGAAAAAGCTGCGTGTCCGATAACGGCATCCACGAAACTACAGGAGCAAACGAGAATCCAGAGCAACAAATAATACGTAAAAGCTGGCCAAATTGTTATGTTCGTCGATCTAAGATAAAAGGCCCTATGCTTCACGACCAACCACGGCGCGTGTGACGGTAAACAAGACAACAAAGTCAACTCGGTCCGACGCAGGAGCATCGAGACAAGGCGGAAAGAAATAAGCGCGATATCACGGGATCAAGCTTTGAGTCATCCACGCTGAGCACTCACCTTCGTTTGTGAACAAGCTCCACAACTTCGCAAACAGTATCCCCATTTCAAACACGTCCGAGGCACAGTAACCAGGATGACGGTAAACCTTAACAAACGACGTGAACTTCCATTCAGCAGAGCGGAAATAAACACACGCAGCGATCAAAGCAATCTATATGTGCCGTATGGAGTGGTGACTGAAGCGGAGCACACAGAGAGAGCTGAGACGGTGGCGCTGGCGGCGATGGCTGACAACTAGATTAGATGAACAAAGAAAACGAATGAAACCATCGCCGCCGCTTTCTTTCGTCGTGTAGTGGCGCTAGTTACTATGCTACTTCTAGAGTGAAAATTATATTAGAGTAAAATATCCATGTGTCTCAGAACTACTCAACGCGTGCTCTGCTGGGTTGAGTTGAAGAAATATAAAATTGTACAACTTAAATAGAAACTGAACCGTGTGATATAATGAGTTTTTAATCCAATTTCTAAGTTAGCAAGGAAGATGACCTCTTCCGGTGTTTCGGAAGACAATTCTCAAGCGGATCTCTCGGCGTATCCTTTTATCGGAAATCTGCAGTCAATCATATTTACAGCATGCAGATTTTTAAGCGCTACTAGCGTAGTTTACCGTAATTTATGTCTAGCATAAGTGGTTGTGTGGTACCCTAGATATTTAGTAATCAACACCGCTTGGAATGTTGTCTGTCTTTTCGTGCTTATCAGGTTACGTTTCTAATTAATCCGTCCCTGTGGTTGAAAAAAAAATGCGATTGTTCTAACTGGCAGTTCTTCTTTCCTTATCGGCAAATTTTCAGTCGTGTTTCTGTGCCATTCCCGTCGAACAGAGACGCAGAGATAGTGTACAACTCGCTGCGAATTGACTCGGACCCGAAGAGGTCTGGCTGCTCCAAGAAGCTTGGTTTGGAAGGAAACGTGCTCACAGTGTAAGCTTTCGGTGTTTTGATTGCGAAATATTTCTTCTGGACGGTATGTAAACGCTAAAATATAATGTTCAAGCTAATGGCTGCTACCAATTTTCTTCTCTTTACCTCTCATGAGCAACGTAGAATGTTCGTGACACCACGTAAACTTTTGACCTAAGCAATAGAGGCACATTTTGCAAAGTGAAACTATGAAGAGGACCACATAACCACCATTTGCATTGTTTATATGCTATGACCATGCATATGGTCTCCTCAGTCGCAGAGTTCACATCAAGGGGATACGTTCTTAACTATAAATGGCCATTATGCTAGCGTTATTTTGATCAGGCATTTCGCTTCATGCAGTGATGATGATGTGCCACACCATTGCTAGCGCTATCTCTTTTGAAGTATGTCCATTGTCCATGGATGCACAGACTGCCACCTCATGAAATCTTGTGCATCCATGGCCAAGTTGCTAACATGAGGCTGTTCTCTGTTCCTATCCACGTCCTTCACATTTTGTGTTTTTTGTCTGCTCCACAGTTCACAGACTGGCCCAAAACTGTAGCCTTCAAATTTCTGCATTGCAGTGCCAGCTCTGGGAGCATTGCTTAAAAGATTATTTGCGTGCTGTAACATGCCAAGCAAGCCCCCCCCCCCCCTCATTTTTTTTGAGAGAGGGATCTTATTGCCAATGACCAAGAAAATTCCCCCTCCCCTGCATCCTCCCCCCCCCCTTTTTTTTCAAGATGAAGCATCGCTCTTGTAAAATAAACCTCAAGAATGAGTACACCTACTGAATGTCTAATGTTGTTTATGAAATGCTTAGAAAAAAGTAATAAAGTGTTTCATTAGAAACATGAATGGGCATTTAAAAAATTTTTAAAAGCGCTCCCGCCACCGTCTTAAATCTGCCTTTTCCATTTTCCTGTGCTGCCCTCTGGTGTTTTGGTAGGGTTAAGTAGGGGCCGTAAGAACTGGCATTGCTGCAATGAGGGTGTCCAAGACCGGGAGTCGTTTTCCAACTTCTTCGTCAGAGAAGGGTGCATGCGCCGCGGCATCGTTGAAAAAGGTGGATTCGGAACCGAGCAAGCACCCTCCTCCCAAATCTGGTCAGATTATTCTTCACCACTTGCTGGGCATTTTACGGTATTTACCAACTGGTAGCTAATTACCATTTTCTCAACTTATTCGAAGCACTGAGTGTGGTACCCAAGAGAGAAAGAGAAACAACTTTAACAATCAATGAAGGAAATGCTGTAGTGTTGCTGTGTACTGATAGCCTACAGCTTGTCTGCAAAAAGTGTAAGTCTTCTTTGCATTTGTACTTCCACTAATCTTCGCTTAGAAATACTTTTTTGTTTGCGCTATGCCCAACATCCAGCATCAGATAAGCGACTTATATTGATTTTCATCACAGTTCTGCAGTTACCCATACTGTGCAGTCTGTCATCTCGGCACAGTCTGGTGTGATAGAAAAGTGCTGCATATGAGAGGCATGCGTACATACAAACTTTCGTTCTTCTGTAATTTAGTCAGTTTAGGCATATTTAAGGTGATAATCATTGATAATGTGACCTGCATAATGTCTGGCCGACAGCTGGATAACCTAATGAACCTTTGTTTTTCTTCCACAGGCATTTCACTGCTAAGGAACCGAAACACCTGAGGGTTGGCGTCAACTCTTTTTTTGACTTCTTGATACTCGCTATCAAAACTGTCCACCGTTTCGGCCCAGCCTCTTGAGCCTCTTCACTGTGACATGTTTCAATAGGCTTTTCCAACAAACATTGCTAACATGGCCATCAAAACACCAGCACCTTTGGCCAGCAGGGCCATCTATGGCTATGTGCTCTATGTGTCGTGCCACTTGGGACTTGCCCTGTATGTGCTTTGGGCATATATCCCGAGTTCTTGGCTGAGGGCAATGGGCATCACCTACTTTCCGGACAAAGTGTGGGCCATTGCTGTGCCTCTTGCCGGTGTTGTGGCTGTGTTGTTGTTTGGCTTCTGTCTCTACCCTGCGATCATTGCCTTTGCCACAGCCCCGATGGACTCTCCATCCACCATTTGCGACAAGTACTCTGTTTACGAGTACAGAAAGCCACCCATTGATGGTGCCATACCACCTATCAAGGATGTCCACATCTCACAGGTGTGCCGAGAATTGTATGGGCATTGATGCGAGAATTAAAAGCTCCTGTTACCATTTTTTCAAATTGAATGACTTCCGGGCTGGTGTCCTGTAGTGAACACGATTGAGTCCGGGCACGAAAAAAAATAATGAAAAATAAATTTGGATGGATAAATTATTTCTTCAGTAACACAGGTTTCATTCATTTGGCAATGCAGTGTTGTACACATGAAAAGATAAATGCCACAGTTGCATTTCCTAAATTATAGACTTTATTTTTTCATTTGGTTATAATAATTATGAGACTTTCTCGGTCTAGTCCATGACTCCTTTAGAACACAGTGTAGTTTGCCGTTAGCTATAAGCAGTTAACCAAACCTGGCAGATACTGCCAAATCCACAATATTGCAGTGTGCTAATGCATCAATTAGAGCTGTATTATCACCTTTCTTTCAATATAATGACTTCTGTGACTTTCTAAGCACCTTTGCGTGCTAAGAGTTGCTGTTTCAGCTTATTAAATCTCGATTCTCTCAGTGTAGGTTCGTGTGCTCAGATTTGAGTGCACATTAAAGAACCCCACGTGGTCGAAATTTCCAGAGCCCTCCACTACAGCGTCTCTCATAATCATATGGTGATTGTAGGACGTCAAACCCCATATATCAATTATCTCAATTCACTCAAGCTTTTTTAATTTGCTTTACTTAGTTTAAAGTGACATTCTAGCATCTCTTTAATGTGAAATTAAGGCGAAAAAAAGCTACCTTCAAAATGTAAGCAGCCAGAGGACTGAGGTCAGCTTTGCTGTAAAAAAAACTGGAATGATTTTCTTGTCGACAGTGAACTGATCTCTTTTGCAGAAAACAGGCTTGTTATACTCTTTCGTGCCTTATTTCAAAGACATAAATTGGAACTCTATTCGGATACAACTTAAGTCTGCGGCGTCTCCTCCTCAAAAGCGGATGCACAAAGGCTTGTACTAACAAGCAAACTTTTAGAGCACCAACACACTCCAAACTGACTTTACGAGCCGGAAGGCTAGTGACTGCCTATGGAGAATGTTGTCAAGTGCATGAGTGGGACCATTTCTTTAGTTACGGAGCCGATGGGCTGACGCACTTCGGCCGCTCGGCCAGGGCCTCTCCGAACTTCTCAAGTTGTATCTGACTATGGTTTGTGGGTGATCGTCTATAATAGTGCATGGACAAGGGATAAACAATTGAGTGGAGACATGAAGCGCATTTGTGTCCCTTCTTGACTGCTTGCCTATGTGATGCACCATTCTAGACGGTCTTGCCCTATCAACATGTCCTGCCCTAGAGTGTGCTGTCAAGCTGTCAAGAACTTCAGAGGCCACAGAACATGCATTACTGAGACAAGAGTGTAGGGATTGATATGGATAATTCAACGATGCTTTGCGACCTCCATGAATGTGTTGCAAATCAATGCCTGATAAATGTGCTTTGTTCTAGGGCAGACAGCAGAGATCTGTAGAAAGGCAGGAATACCATTGTTGTGTTCCGATGAGTGGATAATTCTCATGTGCTGGATGAAATTAGCATTCTTATTGCTTTTACATATTAAAAATGTGTTCTGTAGCATATATTATAGTTTACTTAAGTGAAAGTGTAAAGGCTCTCTTTACGTAAAAAATTGCATGATCTTGATGCCAAATATTATTACTGGACCTGTTGCTGCTGGCCTCGAGGAGTGTTTGCCTGCCAAAACTGGCCCTGTGATATAATGCACCCTCTAGCAGGCCCATTGGCGGGGGCCGGGGTGTCGACCCACCCTACCCCGGCTATGGGCCTGTTAGGAGGCAGCATTACATTCCTCCCCAAAAGTTTGATGAAGAGGGTGTTCTAGAGAAAACGAATAATAAAAAATGGGTGTTTTTCTAAATTAGTGAAGGCCTTCAGTAAATATACCCCCCCCCCCCCCCCCAACCGTTTTTCGAAAAAAAAAATTTCTGGCAACGGACCTGGCTGCCTCCATGACATATGGCTTGCAAAGGTGGCATCTGCCAATTTAGCGTACTAGCTCGCCGAAAGCTGTGCAAACAAGGCACGTGGCAGCACGACAGGCGAATTTTTTTTTTGCACTGGTTTGATCTGTAACAGTAATGTACCAGTGAAAACAGGTGAGTGTAGAAGAAGCAAAACGATGGATGACACACGTCGAATGCAAGATTTCAATATATTTGCTTTTTCCCCGGCCTAAGAGTCGGTATATGAATCGGCGAGTAAATTATATTATATATATTGCCACGTTCCATTTCCCAAGTTTTCGTTATCGTCCCAAAACACCACACGATTCTCAGCGCAAACCGCGCCTGCAGTTTTCCAGAAGGTTCCGGACTGTAGTAGATCATTTCGATAGGTTCACGCCCACTGTGCGAACGGTACAGATTGTTCTGGAACCTACGCCACCGCCAGCGATAACGCTAGAACATTCGATGGCAAGAGTATAAATGCCGACGCGCTTCGCCGCTTGCCAGTAGTTGTTGATCGAAGGCCGACGCTGCGTTCGCCGCTATCAGTCCGAGACTACTATCTGTGCAAGACTGCTGCTGTAATTAGACTTTCCCTTTACCGGGCACAGGTTCGCCCAAATAAACAGTTAAATCCCAACACGAAGTTTCCTGTCTTTGGCCACGTCACGACCCCGTGACATCTGGTGGACGTGCTGCTTCGTTCATGTACCGGACGCCCCCGTCAAGCCGTGAACCCAGCCCCCGTCGCGGAGAAGACACCGACGCCAACCAAGAGCAGCGAACGAGCCGCCGACAGCAAGGTCTCCCACCGGAGTACGGCCTTCTAGAAGGCAAGGCGCGGAAGACCAAGACCATGACCTCGACTGCAGCGACAATGACAACCGGAGCGTCCCAGCCCGCGATCGTCATTCATCAACCCAGGGAACCACCAACGTTCCATGGCTCATCGTTTGAAGACCCGGAAACCTGGCTAGAAACATACGACCGTGTGGCCGCCCTCAACCACTGGGACAACGAAGAAAAGCTTTGTCGTGTGTACTTCTACCTGGAAGACACCGCAAGGACCTGGCTAGAGAATCGGGAGTCCACGCTCCGAACGTGGGATGTCTTCTGCGGCGCATTTCTTCAAACGTTCGCAAGCGTCGCTCGCAAAGAGAGGGCCGCTGCTCTACTCGAGACCCGGGTTCAGCTACCAAATGAAAAGGTTGGAATTTTCACAGAGGAGATGACCCGCCTATTCCGTCACGCTGACCCAGACATGCCTGAGGAAAAGAAAGTTTGTTTCCTCATGCGAGGGGTCAAACAGGAGCTCTTCGCGGGACTAATGAGGAATCCACCGAACACCGTCCAAGAATTTGTATCCGAGGCGACCACCATCGAAAAAACGCTGGACATGCGCACCAGACAGTATAATCGTCGCCTGACTCCAAAATGCGCTGCTGCTCAAGCCAGTGACTCCGACGACCTGCGTGAAACGATCCGAGCGATCGTGCGGGAAGAGCTGCGCAAACTGTTGCCTTCGGCGCAACCTCAAGTGGATTCGATCGCCGACATTGTGCGAGAAGAAGTTCGGCAATCGCTTCAAATTCCCCAAACACCGCTGCCCGAGCCAGAAACTATGAGCTACGCCGCTGCACTGCGCCACAACGCTCCTTCCCGTCCACGCCGAAATGCCGCCCCGTCACACTTCCGTCGCCAGACACCACCGCCGCCACCACCCCCACCGACGACCTACCGTTCGCCAGCGGGCCAGCGCAGTGCGCCGAGGAAAACCGACGTTTGGCGCACCCCTGACCACCGCCCACTGTGCTACCACTGCGGCGAGGCCGGGCACACCTACCGCCGTTGCCAGTACCGACAGATGGGACTGCGTGGCTTCGCCGTCGATGCACCACGTCCGCAGCCAGGGGAACGGCCACGTGACATCGCCGACTACCTGACAGGAACTCAATGGACACCACGAAGTCCTTCCCGTTCGCCGTCGCCCAGCCGCCGCATGTCACCGCACCCCCGGCAGTACTCCGGCCCAACGCGGGGCCGGTCTCCTAGCCCGTATCCGGGAAACTAAGGGCAGCAACCGGTGGAGGTGCGGTTGCTGTGCAACGAACTACCGAAGATCCTCCGACGACGACGACGCCGCGACGGAGCTTTCCGAACACAACGCCAACCAGGCAAAGACCTGATGGCGAAAGCTCACTTACCGAAGGTGGCCTGACGACGCAACATGGAAGCAGCGGAACAAGCCGACGCAGCCGTGACCCGACGCCACGCCCTAACTGTAATGCGAGACGGCGAACTAGCGACCTCGACGTTCTTATCGACGGCCACAGTGTGACTGCTCTCGTCGATACTGGAGCTGACTATTCTGTCATCAGTGGGTCGTTCGCCGCGAAGTTAAAGAAAGTGAGGACAGCTTGGAAAGGCCCTGAAATTCGCACAGCTGGAGGTCATCTCGTAACGCCTGCAGAAATTTGCACAGCGAGAGTCACCATTAACGGCCGTATTTATCCTACAGACTTCGTAGTCCTACAGCGTTGCTCGAGAGATGTCATTCTTGGCATGGACTTCTTATGCCTCCATGGTGCTGTCATCAACCTAAAAACAAAGTCGATAACGTTATCCACAGAAGAAGCACTACCGCCGCGCACGCCGTCAGGACACCATGCCTTGAATGTGCTGGAAGAACAAGTCACCATTCCGCCTCGCTCAAGCGTCATTATTTCAGTCGGCGCTCCTAAATCACCTGACTTGGAAGGCGTCGTTGACGGCAGTCAGCATCTGTTGGTCACCCGAAATATTTGCGTCGCAAGAGGAATTGCAGAGCTGCGGGGAGGCAAAGCAACGGTTATGCTCACGAATTTCAGCAATGAGTACAAACATGTGAACAAAGGAACAACGGTCGCATACATTGAAGAAATTGTCGAAGCCACCAGTGCTTTCGCCCTCGCCGATTCAGCGGAACCTGCTCAGAGGAACCAAGCCCCTCCCATAGCTTTCGACGTCAATCCCAGACTTCCGAACGATAAGCAAAAGCAGCTCAAGGCCCTGCTCCTGCAATACGAAAATTGCTTTTCGTCGTCATCGAAAATTCG